AATCAAATTATGCAATAAAATTTCAATATATATTTTTATTAATAATTTTAAATCAATTCAATTATACAGTATTTCATCAGTCAAATAATATAATGTTAATTTTTTTATTATTGGATTTTATATGCAAAATTATATGTTTTTTTTCTAAAAGTGAGATGAAATTAATTACTTTACACTGTCTGTGCTGAAATATTTATTATTATTTTTTCAAGTCTTAGTTCTCAAGTGTTTTTTGATATCAAATAGGATAAGGTAATTATTAATTATAGTAATAATATTGGATGTGATCATATTTTTTATTTTTAAATACATACAAGAAATTGTTTACTCTAAAAAAAAAATAAAACAGTAATTAACATAATAAAATATGAATAATCTAATATTGTAACATAAATCATATAGTTCATCAATAGTATAGCATTTGATTCAATAACTCGATTGATTGTATTAATTTGTCAGCTTTAGAAATGTACAATGTTAAGAACGGATATTGGATCTACGAATTTGAAAAAGCTCCAGAGTTTTATGGAGGTAAGCATTAAAAGTAATAACAGCTTAAAGTTTATCACACATTTCCGACATGGAATAGGAGGGTGATTGTCTCTAAAAAAATCGTTGTTTTAAATTGCCTATTGAGTTTGCCCACGTTCGTGCCTCTTATCCGATAATTGCTTTAGATCCAGGGTGGGATAAAAAGATATCTCGCTTGTGTTAAGTGATGTGGATACACCAGAAACTTGATTTAATTTTGCTAGGCTATTAAGCCAAAAACGCGTCTTTAAATCAAATATATGATTTCATGGATACATTCTCATTGTAATTATTGTAATAAAATCCTTGGAAATTGTACAATTGCAGTGACTTATGCTTTCATCATAAATTACCTAATATCGATAAAAGAGGATCTCAAATTAAAATAAAATTTTATGAAAAAAACTTTCCAATAAAAGAAACTCGAGATTTAATGTGATTGTGTCTTCAAACAAATGGAGAATCCAGCACCGACCTTAAACCATCTAAAAAATTCTTTGCCTGACCAACATGGACCATCACCAGGGACTTTATTCATTCGTTTATCAGTTGCCTTAGAGATTTTTACGAAACGTCTCGAGGAGCTTTTCTTCAATTCCGATAGACAACGACAAAACCAAACTTCCACAAAAGGTTTCTTTGATTATCCTGATTTCGTAATACACGCAAGATCAGCTTGCGACATGTATAACTCTTTATTCAAAAAAGAGATCGGAAATTGTCACGATTGTCTGGGGGTTATTGACCACTGGGTTGTGGGCGTTGAAGATGAATGGAAGAAAGGGTTGAATGAAATCAAAACAGAAAGTTATCTTATGCCGAAATTCCTATTGAGGGAGCCGACAAGAGAAACGCGTCATGTTAAATGGCAACAAGGTCTATTGGACGAAAAGAGAGAAGAATTTACAAGTGAAGAACACGAGAGTATTGAGAATAAAGGAAAGGATGTGAGATTATTTGAAGAGATGCGAAAAGAATTAAAGAAGGGTACTGAATATAAATTATCATTTGCTGAGAATGCTGAATTCGAGTTAGGTAAACCTCTTGTAGGCGATGATGATTTAAACGAGGATAGACGAGGTGGATATGTTAAAGAAGAGATAGATGAAGAAATCGTAAAAGGTGTCGCCAGACCTACGGTTATTGATGACAGAGATCCTAACTCGGCGGACTCTTTGTTCAAGGGTGGTAGTGCGAAAGATGCACAAGCTGACAATGTTACTTTGGAAAATAGAGATACCTCTTCCATTGATAACATGAGCGCACCATTTCAAGATCAATCGACTCGCTTTGCAGAGTCGGATGGACTGCTCAATGTTGCGGTTCCCGATCGCGTTGGTTGCGAGCAAGAATTGGAAAGAATTGAAAGAATCTCTATATACAGCGAAGTTCCATCTCTCGAGAGTGGTTCAGGTTCGATCCAGAGTCTCGAACAACCTGAATCCTTGATAGAATATGGGTTCAGACAAATTACAGAGATTATTTCCAACGAACAAATTTTCAATGAAATTGTAAACGAGACTGCCGAAGAACTTTTATCCAACGCTGCTCTTCAAATGGAAGAGGTAGATATCCAACAAGATCAAGAGGATCCTCGATATTTATCGTTTTTCTTAGACCACGAACAATCTGAATTACTATTGTCAGAAACAAATCCTGAAAATGAAGGTCAACAACTTGGTACGGTTAGAACTTGCCCGCGTGAAATAAACACCGAGGATGAAAATGGAATGTCTTCTGCAGAAATACGAGAAGCCTGTGCTTTCGAGTGTTGTGAACAGAAAGATTCAAATGTAGAACATTTTTCCCATAGCGAAAATATGATTTCCGAAATTGTTCAGTCTGTGAATTTAACACGTGATTTCGACCAAGAAACGCACAGTTCATCATTTGAGACATCCAACATCGAAAGAGTGCATCATGGCGTCAACATACATCAAAAGGTCAATAGCAATAAATTGGATGATCAATTTAATGGTGTTCAATACCCAGCACAGAATATATTAAATACCGATAGCCCACAATCTCAGCAGTTAATTTCCCACACATTCCATTGGAAGTACGGCGGGCGTGGTGTTCATATAGCAGGAAGCTTTGATCCACCGTACAAACATTGGGACCCAATTCCAATGAATTACAACAATGATTCTGATCTTCATGAAATTGTCTTGAACCTCCATCAAAACTGGAAATATCTCTTTAAATATCTAGTCGATGGGAAATGGATGATAGATCCTTCTATTCCAATTGAACAGGATAAAACGGGACTTGGTAATAACTTTGTAATAAAGACATTACCAGTTGTCGAAGCTGAGCCTCGATGCACTCATGTTACACCTTGCCCTTGCTACTTTATGCCCAGAAAACTGCCTAGGTCATTGCCTGGGTCTTCTAATGGTATTGACAAACCCGAGAGCTATCTGATTGAGGAAAATTGTGCACACCAATTTCGCTCTCATGCTCATCTTGTCTATAATGCGCTTCAGGATGAATTGGATTCAAGGAGGTTTTTATACGAAATCGACAAGGTGCCACATGTTTCCAAGAGTTCAACAGGAGATTCAAAGAAATGCGGTCAAAAGAAGAAAAAATACGAGAAAAAATTGGTACAATTTCAATCGCGATTTAAACATCCGAAATCATGACGATTTGTTTAACAAAAATATTTCCTTTACAATTTTAAAACAGCTGAGGCATTCTCAAAAGATCACAGATGGAAGTCTAGCGACCAGGAAAGCTAACATAAAACGGTTTCTAAAGATCATTGACCATTGGAAATATGTTGTTAGTAACCTAGAAGATTATCTTTAGTGTTGATGGTAACGGGATAAGCATGCTTTCAAAGATCTCCATATCGACTAGATTATCTCACTATTTTTCTTTAGTTGTAACCAGAAACTTAATAAATATAGTTAACCATATTAGGAAGTTTCTAAGATTATAAAAATACGAAGCTTTTAGCTCAGTTTACTTCTAATATGAAAAACTATGTGATCTTCATTACAAATCATCCTATTTTTGGGCTGCTAGACATTATATATACCTAACAACGTCATACAAAGATTAGTAATTTTTATAGGGATCGATATGCATATCGATATATTCGATATATACACTTGTAATCTTGTAATTCGATAGCCACATTCGATTTGGTTAGTGGGCCGAACGATCCGGTTTTTTGGCTCGAAATATAAAAACGCCTCAAAAATTTTTTCATGTTAAATCAATTTAAACCTCACTTCAGTAACGTAAGCCTAAGAGCAAACCGTATATTATTAACTTCGGTAGTCAAAAGAATGGTATCGACCAAAAACGCGCTAATCCTGAAGTCAAGCGGGAATCCAATGCCCTTCGTCGGTCTAGGGTTATGGCAAGTACCAAAGGATAAAGCTGCCGATGTGGTATTTAATGGTTTACAGATCGGATATCGATTATTGGTATGTTAACTTCATGGGTTAAAGACCCCGAATGTTTTGAGGAATTTGGTTAAATAGAAGAATTCACGTATCTGGAAAAATTTCCAATAACAACTTGGTAAAAGGACAATGCTTCCGATTATGGTAACGAAAAGGAAGTTGGAGACGGAATTAAGAAAGCCATCGAGCACGGAATCGTCAAGCGTGAGGTATTATTACGCTTATGATCGTTGTCTTTTTTAAAAGGGGAGGAGATAGCTGAAGTCAAAGGTTTTCTTTATTTTCAATAGGACATCTTTGTTACATCAAAGGTGAGACCTGGTTTTCGCAAATATTACATAATTATCTTAGAATGATAATATTAAAAAAATAATTTATATAAGCTATGGAACACCAATCATAAACGTGAACATGTACGGCCCGCACTAGAACGTACGCTCAAAGATCTTGGATTGGATTATTTGGATCTTTACCTGATCCATTTTCCGGTTTCATTGGAATACGTTGATCCGTCAGTTCGCTATCCCGCCGGATGGTTTGGATCTGATGAAAATGTAACTGCTAGAGAAACTTGGGAGGCAATGGAGGAATTGGTTGATGCTGGGTTGGTTAAGGTACTCATCGTGTTTTAAAGAATTTGACGATAACCAGTACTACGCGTCGTAACAAATTAACCTTCCTTTAGAACATAGGACTTTCAAATTTTAGCGCTGCACTTATTTATGATCTACTTAAATACGCACGAATCAGGCCGGCGGTATTACAAATCGAACATCATCCTTACTTAACTCAAGAGAACCTTATTAAATACATGAAATCTCAAGAGATTGCGGTTACAGCGTATTCATCTCTTGGTACTTTAAGCTTTCAGGAGTTTGATGGTGAATACGGCCAACGGGCATTGAGGACACCTTCACTGCTTAAGCAAGATATCGTATTGGAGGTTGCCGCTAGTCATAAGAGGACTCCGGCTCAGGTAAATTTGTTTGGAACGTTTTCTTGCACCAAAAATTTTGGTGTCTCATTTTTCTTTGTAATATCAGGTGTTGCTTCGATGGTCTGTCCAACGTGGAATCGCAGTCATTCCAAAATCAAATAAACACGAAAGGTTGGTCGAAAATATGAATATTTTCGACTTCTCCTTAACGGAGGAGGAATTACGTCGGATTTCCTCGTTAGATCGTAGATTGAGATTCAATGATCCTGCGGTTTTTGCCGATCTTCCTATCTTTGATTGACGTGGTTTTTTCAACAAAAACGTTTAAAACACTGAACATTATTTAAAAAATTTTTTGCTTCACAAGAAACACGCGTCTTTTACCACTCGTTAAAATGATTTTCAAAAAATGTTATATAATCCTAGTTACTATAAACATCTCCAACGATTTATAATATGCAATTATTATTAGCATTTATTGCGAAATTTTTTAGCTTACACGTTTAAACCATTTTCTCGCGCAAAGATGTCTTTCATCGACAATGGCAGATGGCTCAAGGCAACTGCTATTGCATTGGCAGCTTTGTAGTTAAAATTAAATATATTTTTTTAATGTTTTTCAACATGCAAATCAGAAACAGTCTTTCTAGAAATTATATTTACAATTGTGTATTAATCTACTGTACGTATATTAAAAAAAAATTGAATAATGTTGTGAACAACGTCGCAATGTAATGTCTGTGTATTATAATGGGTTGGTTGATTGTAGTCTATGAATGTATTACGGTGTAAACAGTGCGAATGAATAAAGAATTGTATGGTAAATGATGATTATGATTTTCATATATGGGAATTTATAACATGAACACCGTCTTTGGCGAAATCTTAAATACTTCTAACTCTTCCATTCCCCTCTTCCGCCCCCGATCCAGCGCCAACTCGTACCCGCCGGTCCTTATCCGACTAATCACCGGCTCACGTGTATCCCTTCCTTCTCCGAACGAAAACATCAAACTATCATGTGTCCTCGAGTTACCGCCGTTCCATACACTAGAAATGTACATTCCAAAAATTTCTTCTGTCGACTTAATCTTCATTAGCATAATTGTCTTCTCCTGTCCCCCACATTGTTTCTGCAAAGCCTGTTGGGTATACCCATCCCTCGAACCACGCATGAGCAACGTGAAGTCGTATGGAACCTCGTTATGGGAATAGGGTGATTCTTCGCATTGATCGATCCACGAAGAAATCAATGCGGCATGTTTATAAGCGATGAGCTTCGAATTTATGGGTTTAAGACGAGGTGTGAAGGGATTCGGTTGCTGTTTGGGCGTCAGAAAATTCCACATGATGGTGTCACAGAGTTCCCTAGGGAGCAACTCATGAAATGGCCACACTCTCTCACGAAATTGCTCAGGTGTCATGGAGGTGAATCGGATGAGTGAGGTACATCCGTCCACCAATTTTTTAAAGGTTGCAAAATACCCTGGAGACCAATTTTTTGGATTTTCAGGATCAGTGGTAACGAAGGGTGGATTTTGAGCTAGTGCCCATTTAATTAAGTAGTTCCAAAGATCAACTTCCTCGATTGCCAAATCATCCCTTTTCAGTAACGAGCGTAAAATTTTATTATCCAAGCAATAAAAATAGTCAGAACTGAAGAGCATATGAGGATCGGCGCAAATGGAATCCATACAATAGGTTTGAAGGGTAGAGTAGGTGTCGTTGGTAAAGGCGAAATCGAGAACATAATAAAAGTTTTCTTGAATCCAGATGGATTGGGTCTCAATAAGAAATCCCTGAATTTCGGAGATCAGTTCAGGAAGGATCAGTTCGTCAGCAGCAGTTAGCAAGCTCAATAGGAATCCACCTTCCTTGTCCTCGACGCTTATTACTCCTGTATATAAATACCTGATGAAGTGTAAAAAGGTTAGACTTGCTGATACACACCAACGAATCCTTGTTGAAAAACAAATATTTAATGACTTTCCACTCACTTAAGTATGACCCTAAAAATCGATGGAGAAACGTTGGGTTTGTAAAACACCATTTGACCATCTTCAGTGCGCGCCCACTCTTTCGACAATGCTCGGTGAAAGTAGGGTGAATGCGCTCGAAGAATGACCGAATGAGCTTTAAAAGATTTCACTAATGGTTCTTGACCAACGGTTATTAGTAGATCGTGACCTTCGGTATCTTCTAGTAGGCGGGCAAAATTTTGAGAAAAAGTGAGCCAGGATGTTGCCGGTGACATCTTTTTCGATGATGTATTGAGCATGAAATTTTATTTAAGTAATTTACAATCCAATATGTTAGATACGTATATTATCAAAATGTTATGAATATTAATTAAATTTATTATCCTGTATTTAGTGTAGAGCTATTTGTATACAAGTTATCTAGTAGTTACTCTAATTTGTAAAGATTGTGGATAATGTTTGTTTCTCTTCTTTTCCGGTCAGTCATATTTATAAAAAATTAGTGATTTGTTTCTCGCCAACGAAGATTAAGAGATTGGTAAAGAATAAAGAATGCAATTAGAATAATAAGTGAATGAATAACAAATACAATTTTGCATCTCTTTCTTTTTGTTGAATGTAAAAAAGGCTAACAATCGACGAATAACAATCTACAAAGTTACCCCACATTGTCCTGACAGGTATTACTATTATATATATCTTTTTTTTTTTTAACAATTATTAAATTGGATGACGCACTATTAGGCGATCTTGCAGTGCCATCCGAATATGTCACTTATCTCGTGCATAATGTCTACAACATACATTGTCTCTTTTTACACACAGACAATACTGATACTCTTAATATTCCTTTAGCCAACAAACAAAGGGAGTCAAGATTCAATGACAGGAAAGCGCATGACCTACATTAAACAGATCCACGACAAACCATTTTTTTGAACATGATTCACCACCTCAGATTTAGACAAAACCAAATTAACTTGCCTCGGAAAAGAAGTCATTGACTTAACTATAATTGGCTAGTGATCAGATGCGCTCTATTTAAGGGGAAATCATTGTTAATACAGTATATACTGTAAATTTTGTTTCATCCTTCCACTATTTACGTACAGTAACTGTATTAACAAATACGAAAGCTTAATTTTCTTATAATTTGTAAATGCCTTTTATTTAATCAACTTAAAGTATAACGAAAACTTTTTTTTAATATATTAAATTTTTGATTATGTTCATTATATCCGATACAGGAAATAGTAATAATTTTAACAATTAAATGAAATTAATAATATATTATCTCGATATCCGGAGTCTTTTATAAAAATCAACAAAAAATACATGTACGTATATACAGTACATAATTTTTATACATAATATTTAAGAACATTTAACAAATTCATCCAAAAATAACGAAGGATAATTTGTTACGAATTATTTTTGTCCCTGTGTATGTTTGTTAATTGATTAGAGATATTTATTTAATTCGTATTACACATAAATAATAGGCTGTATATATTTAAAGATTAATTTAAACCAATAAATAAATAAATTCAATCTGTTAACTTGAATATACAGCAAATATCGATTTTAAGCATAATGATTTAATAAAAATGATATTTTAAATAAATGTCTTTATTTATAATTTTATTATTTATCAGTGTCAATTACTCTTAACAAAAAAACAACAACCAATTAAATAAAAAAAAAATAATTGGTTTATTCTATTTTATTCACATAAAACCATTATATTTTTTATAACATAAGAAAATTTCTTTTGTTATTTTATAATAAATCACAATTAAAAATACTGTATATATACTATATATAGGAATTCTTATAAATTTAACAGAATTCAGTTATTTGCATGTTTTAATATATTTCTTAAATTTAAATTTAAAGTAATAGAAATATACAGTATATTACTTATCAATTTATTATCAAAGCCTCTTTATTTGAATTAATTACAATATATAGTGTATGTATAATATACAAATATAAAAAATAAGCAATTTGATTTTTATATTATTTATTTTGTTGGTTCTTAGAAAAAAATTTTTATAATCTTTTTTCGATAACGGTGACTTCTGCTTACCCTTCTATATTCATCTATTTGTGTATGGTTAACACTTAAAATGACTGAAACAAAAATCAATTACGTTACTTCCAAGTAATAAAGCTCAACTATGTCAGCTCATCAGCGCTTTCCACAAGTCATGATGGAATGGCGTTTATTCTTCCGAAACGTCAATTTAAAACATTATATTCCGAGAAGATAACTCTCAATTCAAGACTGAAACATTACCCCTCGGAGTCGAAGGAACGCAAAAACCCGGTTATATACACTAATGTTTTTAATGTCTATCAGCACATTACTAGAAATACAAAGAGTCATACTTGATGAGACATGTCCCGTTTTATACGCCAAGATTTCACAGTAGTCAAGATGTCTGTGGAAAGGAAAAACGCGTTGCAATCTGGTTCTTAGATTTAGTAAAAAGGAAAAATGAACAACAATGGCATTTTTCGAATTATTCTGATACACATTTTTTTCAAACGACCATAAACGGAATAACGTCAAGCCGACTTTACGCGAGTACGCTTACTACATTGATCGCCTTGCTGTTAATGATAATGTCGTTGGTAAACTGGTCATTTAATGGCGATAATAACCACCACAATGGCGGTTACTTTGACAATGATGATTATGTTCCTAATGATTGTTTTTCTGATAATAACGATTGTTCAAAGCAAAGGAAGAGTCCTTCGAAATAGTCGGTAGTGAAAAGTGTATAGTTTCATCCTCCAAGGGAATCACAACTATATACAGTATAAATATGTAGACAATTGAATTTTTTGAAAGTTTTCTCACATGACCAGGTTGTTTCCTGGAAAACCTGTAGCGCAAATGTATACTCACTTCAAAGGAATGTCAAGGTATGAATCTTTTTTCACACGATACTAATCTGTCTACATTACAATATTGACATTAGGACTTGCTATTCTACGTTTATTCCATGAAAGTTATCTTTATAAAATTATTTTTATGCATTGGCGTTACAGCTAATTATTATGGAAGAAAAGGAAATAATAGTTAAACGCAAGATTATATCTCTTAGTCAAGAATTATCGGTTTCTTTTGTTGAACTTAACCCAAATTCGTGGATACTGAATGATTGAATTATTGAAGTTACGCAAGGAGAAATTGTTACAACTTTATCTATCTAGATTAATATATTCATATATTCATCAATATAACATTGTGCTATAAATAAATTATAATGCAGGTTAAACTTTTTGCTTTAAAAGCACAATGTAATAAATTACAAAACATAAAGCCCAATATGGATGAGAATTTTATTAATAAACTTAAATAGTAAAGTGGTGTTTCGTGTTAAGAATTCGACACGTGAAGTCAATATATGCTCTTACAAAAAATTATAGAATACCATATATTGTAAATATCATATATGATAAAATTTGGATTATAAAAAAGTTATAAAAAAAATATTATTATCAATAAAATTATAATATAAAGAAGTAAGGTATATAAGACTTATGCTTATCTATTTTGCTGTTGTATTATTGATTTATTATTATTATTATTTCTTTTTTTTTTGTATGTATCAATTTAACATTTATTAAAATCTAAACTAAAGTTCAAATATCCATTTTCAAATATATTGTTATTAATAAAAATGCATGTAATATTATAAAAAATTAGTATATAATCTTAGACAAATAATTAACTTTGATATAAAACAAATATATAATACAGTATATCAATTAAGTATTTTTAATATAAATCATAATAATCAAAAAATATATATTTATTATTTAAATATAAAAATTTTTTTTCTTTGATTATAATTTAATTAACATTAGTTTTATAAATATTTAATTAATAATTTATTTTTAAAAATAAATTTTTACTATAATAAATTTTCAAAAAAAATTAATTATAAAATCAAAAAAAAAATTTTCAACTTATAAAAAAATTATTAAATGTTTCTTATCATATTTAAATAACAATATTAAAATTATTTTATTTTTTATTTTGTAAAATTGA